GTCACATTATTACATAAAACACCAAAATACAATTATAAGTTTACAGCAATACAAACAAGTTAATTTGTTCATGACACAAGTTCATGTTTCAAATCTAGTCAAGCCACTAGCCAATCTAACAATTCAACAAATGAAAATTGAGCAGTAAAAATCTAATAGATGATTTTATAAATAATTTAACAAAATTGGATGTGAGTTTAAGCTTGACCTGTTTGTCAAATAGGCCAAGCCATTAGCCACCTAATCAGCCTATGGCTTATTTCCACCCATGGCTAGCAGCTACATTGTGATGATGGCTTCCATCTTTCAAACAATCACTGAACATACTAGCAAATAACTAACCTCATTGCCTTAAATATGATTGGGCTTGTTCAGGAGTCACACAGAGATGGTGAAGAGATTCATGGTGTGGACTTACTGGGAAGGTGAACCCCCCTTGGTGCATGAAGGTCCTACAGAATCAATTTATGGCATAGAAGGATACTTCATGCAAGAAGTTGAGAAAGGGAATACCTCATTCTCTGCTTCTCATCCAGATGAAGCCCATGTCTTCTTCTTACCCATCAGTGTAAGCAACATTGTGAGCCGCCTGTACCGACCTCTGGTCACCTATGCTCGAGATTTACTTGTCACAACAGTCAATAATTATACCCACCTTATATCACATAAACACCCATTCTGGAATAGAACCAATGGAGCTGACCATTTGCTGCTCTCTTGTCATGACTGGGTAAATAACTTGATCCCTTTATACAATTCATTTTGTTATTTTATCCTATTAGATATGGTACTTCTTTTTTATCTTAGTATATCAGAAATTAAATCTATGATTCTAGGGTATAAATGCTGTTCATATATATGCACATGTATATGAACAGAGTTATGATATCTTAGTATACATTATTGTAGTTATGATATCTAAGATGATCCCAGGAGAATTAGAGTGTCTCTACAACCTATACATATACATGCTGTTCAGGGCATAAAATTGAAGAACAGAGGCGCACAGAACCTCTGGTTTCTACAGAATGCAACTTCAAACAAAATAGTACAAATTCACCACACAGAAAAACATAGCAATTAGTGCCCCATTTTAAAAACCTTAACTGGTCCTCCCAAAACTGCAAGTCTAACCTTTGCCTAGGAAGGTTGAAAATTTTGTTTTGGGGTGGGGATTTCACATAAATAGCCCTCAAAGAATGAACTTCCCCAAGAAACATTCCAAAAGACGCGATAGAAGTATCCTTTGTTTCATCCGTCCCTTATGGATGATGATGCCTTCCATAAAAGTGCTCACTCCTTCAAGGAAAAGGACGAAGCAACTCCAGCAACTCAAAACATAAGTTAGAATACAACTATCAAACTGTAAACCAGACAATGCAACAACCCGCATAGCGTGTGACACCATACCTACAACTATTACTGCTAGCTTATACCGGTTGTACACTAAGAAATCTTTCATATGGAAGTTTCCAACTTGAAGTCAAATAAAGCGTAATAAAGGCGATTGGTATTCTCTATGGTCTCCTCTAAAATATGAAGCATAACAAAAGCATGTCAAGCAAAACTTCGTCCCTAAGAAGAGGGGAAACACAAACTTAAAGCGCTATGTTAGCACTTCGACATTTGTGCATGTGCTGATTAGTATGCATACATGCAGGTTCCTTTGTACCCATTTCTTTGGAACCTAAAGGATTCAAACTCCAGAGTAAAACAAGGAAAGAACCTATGGATTCTTAATCATGATATTCTCCAAGGGGTTGGGGGGGTATTACAATGGAATATCCATGCGTATGATATTTTAAAAATATCAAATTTAATAAAGTCAATTCGTATGAAGCTCATTAAGTCAATTGATAGACCCGATTTTGAAGAGTCAACCCAAGCCAACCAATACTCATACCTGTAATAAAACAAATCATTTTAGGTTCGCTAATCTGTAAGTCTGAAGATATTTTTTAGATGAATGGCAAACTAAGAAATGAAATAAAGGGCAAAGGTTATTGTAAAAGTATCAATGGTGTAGCTTCACATTCAACTTTTTGCAGGCACCAGATATCTCAAAGGAGAACCCAGATAAGCAATTGTACAAGAACATAATAAGAGCATTATGCAACGCCAACAAATCAGAGCAGTTCAATCCTTCAAAAGATGTATCCATACCTGAAATCAACTTGCGAGCCAGTGAATCCAGCCATCCTCGCCAAGGCCAACACCCAGAGAATCGCTCCGTCCTCGCTTTCTTCGCCGGTGGGATCCATGGGAGCATCAGAGAAACGCTAATCCAGACCTGGAAGGGCAAAGACAAACAACTCCAAGTGTACGAACAACTTCCTCCAAATCTCAACTACTTGGAAATGATGGAGCGAAGCAAGTTCTGCTTGTGCCCCAGCGGATTCGAGGTCGCGAGTCCGAGGACCGTGGAGGCCATCTATGCCGGTTGCGTCCCTGTGATAATCGCCGACGCCTACGAACCGCCGTTTTCGGATGTCCTTGATTGGAGCAAGTTTTCGTTGCGCATTCCGTCGGAGAAGATATGGGAATTGAAGAAAGTGTTGCAGAGTGTGGAGGAAGGGAAGTATCTGAGAATGCAGAGAAGGGTGATTCAGGTGCAGAGACACTTTGAGGTGAATCGACCCGCTAAGGCCTATGATGTGTTTCATATGATTCTTCACTCTGTGTGGCTTCGACGGATCAATATATCGTCGATTCGAGCGTGAATGGAGAATGATGGAATTGGAAGCAGTGACTGATAAATTTGATTTATCAATCTCTTTACATGTATTTATAGTTATATACAAAGGAAAAGAAAGCAGAGCATTGTAACGTATCTGTACATCATACTCTCATACTTCCTCGCTCACTGAGTTCAGCCACGCAACAGGTTCGGTGATCATCATTTTGACGAGCAACACTGATCAAATTATCATTTATATTTGATTGATTTCAACAGTTTAGATTTAAAATTTTTAATTAATTATTTTAAATAAAAAATTATTTTTTGAAAAAAAATAATTAAGAGATTATTCTTATTTTAGATTTCATCTATATTAAAATAATTATTTTAAATAAATAAAAAATCAAATCCTAACCATCCAAATAAGACATAAATAGTTCAAATTTAATGAGTTTAAGATGTTTATCGCCAAAACTCAGGTCTAACTATACACAGAATGTTATACGAAGAGAGTTTCAACAAGGACTGACGTATGCTTTGATGAGAAAGTAAAATGAAAATTAAGAAGTTTGCCTTACAAATGTGAATAATTTTTTCTCTTGATCTTTATGAAAGCCATTTTTATTGCTTGCTCATGTCCTCCAAGCTTCAAATTTGAAAAGAAATACGATTGATTTTATAAGTTTTAATTTAGTGTTTTTTTTAACATTTAATATACTTTTTCTAATTTTAGTCTTAATTATTTATTATCTTTTTTTGTTATAATCTCTCTTATCACATTTTTTCATTTTTTCTTATTTATTACAAAGACATGTTTAGAAAGAAAAATATATTTCTCACTTATTTATTATTTTTAATTAATTTTATCTAATTGTTTATTATTTATAAATTAGTTATTTAAAAGGGAAAATTGCAAAAAAAGACCTTGGAATTGTAAAAACGCAGATAGGGACCCTTGACAACTTCACTTTGGGTTTTGACAAGAATAATATGCCCTGAAGTTGTCAAAACCCAAAGTGAAGTTGTCAAGGGTCCCTATCTGCGTTTTTGCAATTCCAAGGTCTTTTTTTGCAATTTCCCCTATTTAAAACTATAATAAAAACCAAAAAAGTAATCCCTTGTAGTTAATGTGACGATAGATATAATAAATATCTTAAATTATATATATATATATATATATATTTCACAAACATAGCATTGATGAAATCTAATAAAATTATAGGAGCTCAATAAGAAATTAAAAAGAAAACAAAAAACAGGAACACTAAAATATGCGAGAGAAGAGCTTGAAACGATACAACTCGAACCATGAATCTATTAAATAGAAAGTGATCAGGAGCAAAGGGTGAGGCGACCGCATGCAAAGGAAGCACCAAGGGCACTTGCAAACCATCTTGAAGGCTTGAACGACCATAAAGGCCTTGAAAATCCTGAAGGATGAGAAGCCAACTACAAGAGCATAACTCTAGAACTGGGAAAATGGTACAACGACCATAGGAAGCGAGTGATGCATCTGTTTTCGCAGCAACACAATCCAAGAACCATCCCAAAAGCTTCTTGAAGATACTCATAATCGGAAGTCCTTACACCAACCAAAAATTAGCAGCACTATAAGATGGACCTCTCGGTGGCCGCAAAAAAAATAGAAGCTCCGCACGAACCCAGTACGAGCCAAGCAGCCCTAACATCTCTGTTCTTGTTAGACTGTTCTAAGAGTAAATGAGCATCCCCTAAAAAGCAAAACTTGCACTTTCGCTTGAAGGCTTAAATAGACTTTTCATGAAGAACGGCAAATTAAAAAATAACAAAATAAGGGAATGAAAAAATCGGCATGAATCGTTTCCCGTCGCAAACTATTCAATAATTCAGTAAATTTAAAATGATACAAAGAAAAACACACCTCTCTTTATAAACAAGTGTTTTCTTTTTTGATAAAAAAATTTAGGTTTTAAATCATCTAAGCATTAGTTCTTGACTTGTCAAAGCCTACCAAATAGTATAGGTTGCAACGCAAAAACATGGCCACTCTAAATAGACATTAGCCAATACTTCCTTTTTGTTTTGAAGGGTAATGCATTGTTAGAGATATTCCGGGGAACTAGTATCAAAGTAAACATAATCTACGCAATTTATGAGTATTAGCATATATATATATATATTCATATGTTTGTGTATGTGTGCACACGTCGGTCGAAACTGGGAGCTTAGTATCTTACCCAAATGGCAAAGACGCTCCTCAAGTATAGGGGAGGTAACTAGCCCTCTAATTCTAATTTTAAAAAAAAACGAAAAATAATATGTAGAGGATTGATAATAATTAATAATACTGATATATTGACATTAAATAAAATTTTGGAATCCTTAAATACACAATGGGACACGTGAGAAGCCTTTACAATAAATTTGTAACTTTGAGAAAGTAAAAAACCCTGTCCATTTAAAAATGATCAACGGTGAACCAATCATTTGATTCATCTTCTGAATCCTTCCCCTTCAAATGCACAGCCTTCTGCTGGCGTCCTCCTCCTCCTCTCTCAGAATTCTCAGATAACTTATCCCAATCACTGCATACATCACGTGATGAAACCCTTATTAGGTCACGTGCCTCCCTAGAGCCTGATAATCTCTCACAATCAGAAATAACACTTTTATCATCATCTTCATCTTGTAGGTCACTGAATGACACATCCTCTTCCTCTTGCTTGAATTTTGCAAGGGAATTGCCAATATCTGTATCTTCAAACCATCTTGCAGAACTACTCATTGTGTCATCATCAATTTCTAAACATTTCGTTGCACTTGTGATCTCACCCAAAATCAGGTTTTCATCAGACGAAATATTGTCTCTTTCTGTGAAAGAGTCGTTCCCAACGTCTTGATGTGGACTCAGATTCCTCAGGTTTTCGGAGTTTTCCGCCTGTAAAGTAGTCTTGTCTGCAAGTCTCTTCAGAAGCACACTTCGTGCTTCAAGAATCTGCACCAAAAAAAGAAGTGAGAGAGATGCAAATTAGTTAACTTAAAAAAGAACCTTTCTGCTGACAAATTTGAGAACCCTAAACACCAAGCGCAAGATAGTTATGCAAGAAATTATTTTCTCACGCTAGCCAGGTTGAACAGCATGGAAGTCTTAATCCACACAAAGTAGCTGGAGAGAACGCCAAAGGAAAATCAATAACATTCATTTAAACTGGAGGTGAATCTGATCGTAATCCAAGATATACAATTACAAAGATTCAAGAGTCAGAGATTCACTTCAAAAAGGCACAGAATAAATGAAATGCTTCACCGTTTCTCATTAGTCAATATAGTAACATTATGTTATCACCTCAGGTCCACTTAATAGTGCTTTGCATTCCAGTGGCACGGCAAGTATAAGCGTTATTAATGCCAACATTTAGAATAAGATATTTTTAAAGTAAAAAATAAATATAACTATGTAATATAAAAATAATTGCATGCAAGTGGCATGGCTTAAAAAAAATTGCAAGAACAAAAGCCAGATTCTGGAAGCCAATTATCTAGACACAAATGAACAAAAATGCTAGACAAGCATATATCCAGACCTAGTGGTCCATGTAAACCAAAACGGATAGAGACATTATGTTGAGAAATGCTGCTTGCCTTGGCAGTTGATAGCAGCTCAAAATCACGCTGATTAAGTCTTGGAAGTAACAACAGAAAGTAGATCAACCAGAATTTCTCCACATTCATGTAGCTACAAAGTTTCAGTCTAAGTGCCACAAATTCAGGCACCAGTTGTTCTATAGTTAATGCATGTTGCCTCTGAGGATGGGACATACTGAAATCAGCTGGAACAAGTCAAATTTCCCATATCAGTGCCTATTAATGTCAATGCATTAAGTTGGAATAAAAAGGGCATTAACTTCTTTGCAGACTTTATATCATGAAGAAGCATACTAGCTTTTCTAACATGTTGAGGCAACTAAGGACACCCGCTCATTGGCTTGCCCTTTCAACACTAAAGAAAAGGCATTGTGCCTTGAGCTGCTACAAAAAGTACCTGACCTCTTGAATCAGGCATTTATAGTGCAATTGTCCATACTTTTCAACAACAGGAGTCTTTCCTAATATATTATTTCCAGCATCAGTAAACGACAGCTCACTTTTTTTGTTTAAACCAGGCCTTTTTAAAGCAAGTTCTAGGCAACGAACCAAACTAAATACTCCACACTGTAGGTACTGGTTACCACATCGTCTGGTCGCTAGCATTTAACATTACCATCCATTTTGATCACCAGTTTCTTTACCAGTGAAAGGAGAGTTCAGTATAAATTTTCAGAGAGGAAAAAGGTACAAAGGATTTTGTTACCTATTCCTAACAAGTTGGATCAAATAACTTGTGTCCAAGTGAAACACTAATCCAGGGCAGTAAACTTCTTACCAAACAACATAGTACCATAAGCTGTGCCGATATTGTCTATTTGTAATTTCAATATTTGCATTCTGTAGGAGCAAAGAAGAACTTATCGTAGAAACAATCATAATGAAATAAGCCAATTAGCCGCATGATCAAAATAGTGACAGAGGGGCAATATGGGAAGAACTAAGAACAGCTTATGAAGTGTCGTAATATACAAAGAGTTCATGTTTAAGACTCGGGAACTACGAATTGAGGATAATAATCCAACCCAGTAATAGGAACGATCTTGCGAGGATATCAAATCATCAATTCACTGACAATCAAATAATATAAATCGTACTCTAATAGAATGATCATCTCGACTACAGAACTCCCGCCGGTCAAAAGGAATCAATTGGAAAGGAAAACGAGAAATCGAAGTCAGTTTCAATTACCATAATCAAGTGGCAGTGGAAAATCCGTCCAACAATCGGGCCGCTTAGAAATTTCCTTCACAAAACGAACGACATCATCGTTCGTCCCAGGCACGCCACGACCTCCGTCTTGATCATCATCAACGACTTGACTTTCGAACTGCAACAACTGGGAGGCGAACTTGGAGATTCCACTCACCGCTTTATTACTGGAGAGACGGGAAATCGAGCTCTTAAAACTCCCACCGATCTCCACAAGATCATTCCGTATCCCAACAAGACCGCGCGACTCCGACTCCGACGAGCGAGTGGGTGTAGAAGACGGAGATGGAGCAAAGAAGTTGGCAAAGCCGCGAAGAATAACAGACACATCATCCTTAACGCCGGAAGCACCACCTTGGATATCACCGGAGGGAACCCCTTCCGGCGTAGACGACCGCATAACGGTGCGTTGAAGACGGAGCTGAGGAGATTCTAGGTCGTTGGATTTGATCCTACGATATTATCTAATCAACAGAAAGTCACAAATTAAATTTTATTTTTGTTGTTTTGGAAAATATAATATAAAATTAAATTAAATTGGAGGATTCTGAAATACAGAATATGAGGAAGAATTATAGAACCGAACAGAGGATCTTGACTGAACCCAAAATTCGTACGTTTCAATCTAACCATATTTTACCGGACTCCGAACCCACGCGCGTGTGTAGCAGCAAACAAACTGAATATTGGATAAGGCGCAACAAAAAAAAACAAGAAGAAGAAGCAAAAGGTACTACTTCCTACCTCCGGTACTAATTATAAAAACTAATTAATTAATTTGAGAAGATTAAGAAAATAAGTTAATTTAGTTATTTGTAATAGATAAGTGTTATCTTTCCTAAAATATCCTTACTAATCAAGTGTATTGGCTAGAATTATCTTTATTAGAAGAACTATCTTGGGAAAAAAATGGATAAATATGAGAGATAAAGTGGATTGGGATTTTATATTTAGAACCAAAAAAAATCAAATAAAACCTTATATTAAGGACCGAAGGTAGTATTTAATATTTATATTTCTTTTGCGCTGTGAAAAACAAAGCTTCAAAATATTTTTCAAATTTTGTATCAAATTTTTTTAATTTTTTTCCTCTTTTTATTTATTTATTAATTTTTTGTGATAAATCAGTATACCATTGTAAACAATCACACTGCATTCATAAGGAAGAGGAAACAGATTTAATTCTGTTTATGATTTCAAGTTGTTCATATTTGCTCTTCTGATTAAAAAAAAATTTGACAAAAATTATTATGAGGGGTATTATTTATAAATCATAATGAGTATGTTGTAATATCTTAACATTCTATGTGAGTAGGAACATTATTTATTGAGAATAAGAGTATTAGCCTAAGATTTACCTTTTTGTTATGAAAAATGAGAAAAGTACAAAGATTGAGATGAGGGAGATGGAGAAAATAAGAGGAAATTGGAGGGGAAATTAAGGGGGAGTTCTCATTCACTTCATTGTCTCAAATGTGTGTACATCATCTCCTATTTATAGGACTCCAATATTAAAGACTAACCTAAAGAGTTACAAGTACATAAAGAAAGGAATTAAGCAACATAATTGTACAATTGGAGGTTATAGGAAATCAATACTTGAAACCCTTCAATTTAGGAGTTATAAGGTATAATGCCATTAACCATGAGAAGGAATCCCAAGGGGCTAAGGAGTTATGAACATCTACACAACATAATATTTACAACACTCCCCCTTGGATGTTCATAAACAAATATTGTGCCTCATTAAAACCTTACTAGAAAAAATCCAGTGGGACAAAATCCTAGTGAAGGAAAAAGAGTACACAATATACATTGAAGCTGCTTCGTTAAAAAACCTTAATAGAAAAACCCCGTGGGACAAAATCTTGGCTAAGGAAAAGAGTACAACATGATCTTTACTCCCTCTAATGACAATGTCACTTTTACTCCCCCAGTCAACAGCATTACTCTCTATCATTTTATCATAATAGAGTATATTAATTTCTTAAGTGTTCAATGCCTTTTCAAGCATATCTTCTTTTTAGCTGAACTATGCATAGTACGTCGTCATCAAATTATATTGAAATGTATTCCTCTAACATATCTTCTAGATATGTGGAATTATCAATATATTCTTTACTTGCACTGAGAAAACTGCAAAGAAAGTTTATTCTGAAAAATACTATAATATATCTTGTATCGACATAATTAATTTAATTTGAATAAAATGATATCATGTAATAGTTTCATAGAACTACATATCCAATCTCAGTTTCCTTATTCACATGCATACCGACAGAAACTTATCTTTACCATAATATTGACAATATATGTAAATATTATTATAGAATAAATATATGGGACTTCTAATCTATTTAGTTGAATATATTTTGCAAACAAAATTATCATAACAAAATTAATCATTTTGCAATCATTGATGCATTCAATAACTTGATCTTCGGGTCAAGTAAGATACGAAATTATTTATTTTCTAATACATTTTTCTAAGCCAAATATGTATACTCAGATTATCTTATTCAACATAATATTTTAAGCATTGGATGATTTTCTTCTATATAAATGCTTCTGACATTTTAAATCCCTCAAGAATTCTCATGTAAACTTCATTATTTAGTGAGCCACATGTATAGGCTATAACGATATCTGACAGATGCATATTTCATTTTTCATATACTGCCAAGCTAGTAATATATGCAAAAATTATTGCATCCATCACAAAATATTATGCCTAATCATAATCACTGGACCTTTGTGAAATTCTTTATTTTCACAAAAATATTCATATGTCACATAATAACCTTGTATTTGATGTGTTTGGACTGCAGGTCCATAATTTTCACATATTAAAATAATAATTATATTTTCATTGCATCTTTTCTCCTTTCCTTTTGCTTTTGGCCAAATTTCTACTTTCATATAAGATCCTCTTTAAAATCACGTGATATTATTATCAAAAACGTTGTCGACAACTTTATCTTTTTGGTTCCATTTTTTCTCTTATGACATAACTTATTGAGATCTCTTCATTACTTTTTAGGTACCTGAACCTCTTATGGGGCTCTTTTTTTCAACTAGTTATGTCTCAGTACTCTTCTAGACACATGCCTCCTTAATATGACTTTTAAATTTCATGCTCCTTTTTGTTCAATACAATTATATTGGAACCGATTAATCTCTCATCCTTCAGGCATGTCTCACTTTTATTTATACTAATTGGAGCATTTTCAGCTGAAATATGAGATTTAGTAATACTCATTTAGGTCAGTAATAGCATCTGGCACATATTTTGTAATATTTCATGGATGCATTCTTTGATGAACTTCTGGTTCATACTATCATATATTTGAGGATCTATACTTGATAATAATAATGCATTCTATATTTTATCTTTTCCAGTTACTCAAGTTCTCCCCCTCATGTTGGGAAAATTTTGTCGAATGACAATCAATTAATCATGCAGTATGAGTCTCCTCAATTCATTTGCTTCTTTTAGAAACATCCCTTTTGTTTCTTTTAGATACAAATAAGAAGAAGGAGGTTCTTACCCAACATTCATTCCAATCTTTTATATCCATCTATATGTATATTGTGGTGGATCAATAGACATAAGCATTGCACATTCAAACTTTTAAGATGGAAAGTATTTGGCTCCTGACCAAAAGCCAATTTCATTGAGAGAATTTTATTGGCTTGATTTGCATAAATGTTGCAACATATCAAACTAAACAAGCCAACCCTGAGATGAGGATCTTGTTCTCAAAAGTATTGATCTAGCTATTCATGGAGGCTAATAATTCTGCCAGATCGTTCTGTTAAGTAGACTTTTTAATTATTTTTCTAACAAATGCATGTTGATCACTGAAATTCTAGGATATAAATTCACAATCTTTTTCAATAAAAATTTTCTGGATCTCATAGTCTGGAACTTGTGCACTCAACATAATGATTACTGAAATAATTTTGCAAACTTCAGGTTGCAAAATTAATAATAATACATGTAACCATCTTATAGATGCATCTATCAAATTTATTAAATACTTGTATGGTTTGCATGCTATTGGTATGGGTTCATATATCTGAATTTGATATATTTCCGGAAATGTAGAGATCCATTTTACATCATAACTAGTGATATCAATGTAATCAATTTTTCATTGAGAATAAGCAGCATATGAATTCTTGGATCATATAATATGTTGGCTATTCATGAAGAATCTTCTGGTTCTTCAATGAATGTCGATATATAATCATCAATAATTTGTTACATCATATATATTATTTATGATAATCAGACAAGCCACCCCAACTATACATTAATTAGACGAGTAAACTTCTGGTTTACTATAACAAGTTTCAAGTAAAACTCTATCCAACATCAACTCACACTTATATTTCAACAGTCTCCCCCTCAAGTGTGAGCCATAAAACATGTTTTCCTTATTCATGTATTTCAAAAACATGACTAGCATATAATAGGCTAATAACCTCTATTACTTGGAAGTACAAGTACTTCCTAGTTCATATATAATTATGGATTTTAATTCGATTAGGCTATTACTTTTCAGACTCTTTCGAAACCGAAGTTCTAATGTAGATCAATGGGTCATATTTTTTTACCATTAATTCTTTATCTGCCCATAAAGAAAAATATGTATTAGTTCTTCAAGAACTATATTAATATTTTTACATATAATTCTTCAGGAACTAAGTAATTTGAGAAGAATAAGGAGACAAATTTATCTTAATAATATCGTAATACATAATAATAAATAGTTATAAGTATCATAAGTTTAACTTGTAATATATATAGAATTTACCCATACTGCAAAGATGATTTTGTCCAACCAATCAAAATTAATATCAACTATTTATAATAAATTTTCTCATAAAGTTAAATAAATTTCTATTTTCTCAATTCAAATGTGACATAAATATATGATTTTTTCTCTCAAATGTCATAGCAAAAACTAATTTATTGTAGATATACAATTTTCTTTTATACTTTTTCAAAATGTATGAACTTAAAGAATTAAATAATGTTTGAATTAATCCAATAATCATAATTTTTTAAACTATAATTATCATCTGCACATGCTTAATTTATTCTCATAAACAAACTCATATAATTAAAGAGAACGCAAATATAGAATATCTTTTAAAATAAACTTTCTGAGAATAAAGTGTAAAATTGAACTTATCGTCAAAACTTCTTAACATTAATATATATTATTTATTTAATTTGTAATACTCAAAACATATCTTTTAAAAAATTACATACACATTGTATGAATACTTAACTTTTCTTTCTCACCGAATTTCTTGTTTAGTTAAACTCAAAACAATTTCAAATGCTCACAATAAAATTTATTGTCAATAAATTACAATAAATCATTCAAACTAAGATCATACAAATAGCATATAAATAAACAAAATACGAACAATATATCATCTCTTTAATTTGTGCACGAATAGCACAATAAAGTACCAATATCATAATATGACCATTTTTTTTGCTATTCTATTGATATGAAAATAAATTATATTCACAATTCATATTCATAAATATGCAAGTAA